TCCCCTGGAGATAAAGTACAGACACCCCACTCTCCCTGTCTCTTTCTTTCAGCTAACTCCTGAATAATCCAGCAACAATACAAGGCTCTGAGGGCGGTGTGCAGCGATTCGCCGGAGGCCTGACTTGTTTTGGGGTGCAGCAGGGGCAGGAGAGGGGGGGGGCGGCATTATGGAGATCAGCTAATGCATGTAAAACACTGCATCCATTTTTTTTTTTTATTAGAACAAGTGGTAAAGAAAAAGTGTGCGGCACAATAGAGGCTTCGGAGCGCTACGCTTAACCCACCACACCTGGAGCACACAACAGGGGGTGAGAGTGGCAGCCCACCTCCCCCCTCCTGCCTCACCCATCATCACCAGCACCACAGCACCTATCAATACAAGCTGTAAAGAGTTTGGTTGGGCTTTGGGAGGAGGGAGGGCTGCCTGTATTCACGGCCTGACTATGATAAAGACGCACAGTGAGGAGCCATTCAAGAGCCCTGTGCCCATAATGGAGTCACTAATAGGTGCCTATTCAGCAAGAAAAGTGTTTTCTGGAGGAGAAAAAAAAAGTTTTGGGGAAGCAACAATCACTTTGTCTGCTGCCTTGTGTATGTAAAATTTATGCAGCGCTCCACCCCTCCACCCTTTTCCAACTCTTTTTGCTGTCTTTTTTTCTTTCTTTAAAGAGCGTCACCAGTGAATAGACGACATGCATAGTTTGGAGTCTTCCTTTCATCCTTACTTGAAAATAAATTGAATGGTCTGTTCTCGAGTGAGTCCAGTCCAGCGGCAAAAGGATCTCAAAACAGGAATACACACACTGTGTTTCGCCTCCCTCTCTCCGTAAAACTGTTATCTCCATATTCACAGGTGGCCAACTTGTACTGAAAGTATCTGTTATGAATGGACACTTTATCACACATTAACAAAATAATGTATATAGTTTTGCCTTATGTTTCTCTGTCAGGATTCATAATATACATTTATGTAGTGATGGATAAAAGAAAGAGTGTAAAAATATCACACAGATTAAATTTTCGTTACTTTTTACAACATAGAGGAAACTTACTGCATGAAAAAAAGCAACTCATCCAACCCATTAAAATGTACTCAGTGTTTAAGCTTTTTAGCTTAGCTCAACTACATCAATAAAAAAGTCAGTGCCTGAGGCATATAAAAAGAAAATTGCTTATTGAGTAAAACAAACAACACTAATTCATTCATAAAACTGTAGGATGCTACGTTTAAAGACCAAAACAACATCAACAGCTCATTCTAAGGTAACGAAAATTCCTTTATTCAGGTGATTACACACTAATGCAAACATACTATGAATATTATATTCCATTTATGCCAATAGATCATCCTAAATGTTACACACTGGAACATTTCAAACTGTCAAAAGATTTTAATCCGAATGCTCAATCCTGAATAGCGGAAGTATGCAACTTCACCTTTTTCCAACACAACACTGCACACTTCAAACCAATGAGAAGAGCACAAAAAAAGGGAAAATTACAAAAACTTTCCTCACTTTGGGAGAAAATTGTGTTTGATTAGGACCCAATTGCTCATAGTAGAAGCCAGAAGCTAATAAATACCTTTAATATGTATTTAATGTTGATTTAATGCATCTGCATGATAAAAACTACCCATGCAGGGAACCACAGATACCAAAGTCTGACACCTAATGTGTCAGGATGATATAATGAAGCTTGATGTACATTGATCTTAGAACCTGTTGCAATTAAACATGTTTAAACTTCCGTTTGGAGCTTAAAAACAAGCTTCCACACAGATCTGATCAAAGTTTGTCATGTAATAACACCATGTAGAGAGATTTAAATTCATTAAATCTCTGTCTGCTGTTCATGCCTGAAAGCTGCCATCGCTTTGCTTCTAGCAACTATATTTGCTGCTGACTCCCCGCTTGGTCCCGAGGCACCATGGGAGCAGACCCTCGTGGGTGAGCTGACTAATCTTGAAATGCTGGAACCATATTGAAAGAGAGGGCCTGAACTGAGAAATACTGGGACCATATTGTGCTGCGTGTCAAAGGGCTTAGCTGACAGATTGATGAGATGAGGAAATAACGGAGCTAACCAGGGGGCGGGAGTGGAGGAGGGGGGGGTCCCAGCATGGCATGGCAACCAGGGTTTGGAGTCAGAGCAGGACTCCCCGCAGGCCTGCCGGGCAGAGCCAGCGCAGGTCAACGCTCTTTGATTCTGGGTCCCGCGGCCGACAAAGGGCAGTACGCAGTGGGCTGGGCTGCTTTCCTTAGAGCTGCATGAAAGCTCTTGTAATTGTATTTTTATGTGTTTTGTGAGAGGCTTTGTCAGCTTTAGTGTGCTGATGTATGTGTTTATTTGTGAGAGAATGTGCATTTGCAAATATACTGCAACCAGGTCTGTGTTTTTTCACTATTTATATTCAGTCTAACATTTTCATCTTAAAAAGCAAGTATACTTTTATTTGCTCTAAATGTTGCCAGTGTTAGTCAAGTGCCAAATTTTCAACAGTTGTCTCTCAACCACAAGTTATATTAGCTGTTCAATTTCCGATAAAGTGGTAGAGAAAGTATTCTTTAAACCTTTTTTCAGCCTAACTGAGAGAAACGATTTAGAATGAAATCAAATTGAATCAATATTTTATCTTAAAGCAGCAAAAAGGAACTTTAACTTTTGTCTTGATTGTGGTGGCTCCTGTGGACAAACATGGTAGTGTTTATATCGCCTTGTTTCATTGATTTCAAGGGGAATCCGACCAAATCAAACCCGGTGGCAGGTATTAGGTATTGCTATAGAACTGGCCAGTCTTCTTGCTGATGTTTATGTAGCACATACAGAGGAATCAGACGATTTCACAGCCAGTTTAAAAACTCCTTGTAGTACATTTAACAGTAACAATGGATTACATGACTACTTGTACGTAAAAGGAGATGCTTGTATTGATGAACGCTGCAGTCTTTCAGCTCATTGTTTTGGTTTTACGGCCCACAACTTTACTGTTTTGATTCACTTTGACCCCTCATCGTTTGGATGAGGCAGGCAGCCGTTTTCAGCAAAAAAAAGCTGTAAAAACCTACTGTACTCTACCAGCTCAGCACCAAATAGCAGACAGAGTTGGAAAGTAGCTGGTGAACAGAATGTATAGAAGCTAAAGAGACAGATATTTTATGAGGAGTTGGTGGAGACCAAAAACAGAGTTAAAATATCAGTGAATATTGGACATTCATCAGGTGGAGAGACAATGGTATCTGCTGGATGTGTAAGTACAATGCAACCGCTGGCTCACAACTTATGTGTTTACACAATCCCTGTCCACCTAGTGACCAAAAAATGTGTTTAAATTTTGATCTTAACAGAGTTTTGAAGTTTTATCTGTACAGGGAAAATGCAGTGTGCCAGTGTTAGCCAACTGTTGTCCCTCAGCTAGACTTCATGTCAAATCAAAACAAAAGAAAACAGTTGGAAAAGTCAGTGAACAGAGGATTAAAATCTAAAGAATAGAGTAAATCAAGAGTCATATATAGTATTCACTACTAGGTAATACTGGATGCGCTACCAGATTTTATTGTATTTGATTAATCAGTTGAATTAAAAACTGTATTAAAATATTTTTAAAAGATACATAGGTTTGCATTATAACTAGTAGTTCTCTTCATAAAAAAAAGCATTCACATTCGTGCCACAAAAATACTGCCATTTCCAACCTTACTTCCCCTCACACAATGCATTTTCTGACAGTGTCTTAGCAACTGGTATTGTGGCATCTGGATTACCCAAAAAAGCACTGCAGATCCCCTGTAGGGCCAAACAGAGGGAGACCTCAGAGTTCTTTAGGAAGGGAGATGTAAAGGAGAGGTTGATCTTGATCTCAGATGGTCCCAAGAAGCTTTAGTACATCTCACAAGTTATGTTATTATGGTCAGAGGATCTTTTTGTTTCTTCTTTTTTTCTTTGTCAGTTTTAGAGACATTAAACAAAGCAGATTTTACTTTTTGCAGATTCAGGTTCTGCGAAGGACAAATGTCTTATGATTTATAAACTAGAACAAGTTTAAAAGATTTATTTTATGTAGCTGAAGTGGGACATGGGTTGTAGGTGTTTGGTCTGGTCACCATGGAAAACACTGACTACAGCTTACTTGTCCACAGCCCTTGTTAATATTACACTGAGACCGTATTTAGTAGGTTTTTCCTGCACTACAATACTGAAGATAAAGAACCTCAAACTCAAGTCACACTCTAGATAATAAGCTTTGATTGGAGATACAGATAGAGGGCTGTTCAGAACATGCACACACACAGAAGCACATACACCCTCCACTGAGCTCTGATTTGTGGAATTGATAGGGTCCATTGTTTCCACAGAGCTTGCCACTATATGCCCTGTAATGTAATTAAAGCCAGGAGATTTATGCTGCTGTATAGCAGCCCAGAACCTGATCCATGTTGTGTCTGGAGTCGGGCTGAAAAGCCCTCTCTCTGTCCAGCTGGCCCTGATTTCTGTTCTGGCCTCTGTCACTGTGCTGTGTTACAGTCCTGTCTACTTCTTAATTGAATGCTTTGGTTTATTGTAGGCCTTGTTTTTGTGTTTCATGTGGAAGGAACACAGGGTTTAAGTTTATTATTTCCCTGTAAATTTGTAGCAAACTCAGAAAGGAATATTGTCTTGTGTATTTGCTTTCTTGGGAAACTAAGTGCATGAGAGAGTTGCTCCAGTCTAGCAGGATGGTAATTATTAACAGCCATAAGCTATTTAAATAGAGTGCATTTTTTTAGCCTCCCACAGAGAGACATTGCTCAGTTCCTCCACCCTTAAATCACTCAGCTACAAAGCATGAAGGTATATTATTGAAAGAATACTTTGGCGAAATGGCAGTGTGTTCTTGTCACTGCGGGACTTCAGTGGTGAAATTTTGACTAAGACGAGTAAACTGAAGGACTAGAGCTCATTGGAGATGTCTGCTGTCGAGAGAAGAGGAGCTCCAGAGCCTCACTGGGAAAACAGTCCTTCCAGAAATCAGGATTTCAAGCGTCATCGGAGGCTTCTGGCTCGGCCCAGGCATCCTGTCAGCACGAGTACCTGGCCGCCTGACGGCTCCCAGTCTGCACACCACGCGCACAGGGTGAGTCTATCCATGCCCACCCAGCTCTTCCTAAATCCACAGCTGAGAGGCCTGCTGCCGCCACCGCCCACAAGTCCAATATCCCAAATGAAAGACACGTCAAACGCTGCTGAATGAGCCCCATGTAGAGAACATGAGAGAGAAGATCCGTAAGACCCGGAGCATCTGTCCACCTCTCTGACACTAATGAATGTTAAGTAGGTTAGCTGCTGGTGTGCCACTGTCCCACAGGTCATTGTGACTGGTGGTGGCAGTAGGGCTGTGCTTTTGTCAGGGTGCGCCAACCCCCTGTGAGACATCTAAAATGGCTGGACCGCTTACTCCTGCACACAATCCAAGCACCAATAGTCGCCATATTGATCCCCCTTGCTTGCAGATTAAAGCATAAAAGGACCTCTGTCCTGCCAGTGGGGGTCCCCACTGACTCCCAGAGCTCATTTCAGGGTCACAGAGTCCTTGCAGCCCCCTGACCCGGACCCCAACGTGAACACACATAAACACCGGTGTGAGGCAGGACAGAAACCTTTCCAGGGATGAACCCCATTAAACAGGATTGGTTGGATGCTCACATTCATGGCTCATTATAGCTGACCCCGGGCTTTCTCTCTCTCAATCTGGGTGCTCTCCTCTTCTGTCTCTGCTTCTAACCTGGCCAAAACCATGCTGAGGTGGTCACCCTCGCCTTTTGTTTGCCATTGATAGCTCGGCCATTGGCTTGATTGTTTTCTGAACTGGATCTACTCATCAGTTGTGTTACGCTGCATTGTCGAGTTCCTGTGGCGTGCTTTCAAAGTTTTGTCTGAGCTTTAGAAACTGTGTAGCTCTTTTGTCTCAAAGTTAGTTGGTTTTTGGACAAATCCGGCTGCTGGTTTATGTAATGCAATCTCAAGTGCCACTCCCATTTCTTCAGTGGCCGACTGGAACACATTTCCACTGTGAGTGAAAGCAGAGATGTTTGGGTTATCACGGTTGGCAGTTGCAGACAGATGAAGGTAGTCTGTGTAAAGTGGAAGTTATTTATCTCAAAGCACTAGTCTGAAAATTAGTAACTACAAAGGAACGTACTGCTTCTGTCCGATCAACACAGTCTGGATGTGAAAGAACTGTGTGTAGTAGTTAATTAAACCCAGCAAAATTGGTCTTGCTCATACTCTTGGCCCAAATACAGCCATGAATTACTTTCCAGAGGTTCTCCAGATATGGCCAATGACATAGCCATATTTCAGCCAACTGAATGACCATAGCTGGCCCTATTCTGGCCCTATGTTGGACCAGACAATTTTCAGTAATCTTTCATTTGGTTGTTTTTGGCAGCAGTGTTGAGTGTTCAGACTTGAATTTCCTTATTTAACTACTTGTCTATATGTCTATCTCAAATGTAAATGGGCTGTGTGGGCCATCCTTGGGCAAGATACATTTTTCTACGTGCATTTCATGGAGATTTAAAGGCTATAATCAATATTTTTAACAGTGTCTCAAATGTAAAAACTATATGAAAGGATTTGTTTAGATGAATTTGCAAAGAATTATCACCGCCAATACACGGCTCCCCTCGGCTTTACAGAACTTTTTAGTGAGTTTCATTTTGTTTTTCATTTTATGAGCTACTACTTTACATTTAAGTTCCTTAAAAGTGAATTTTTGTATATACAGTACAGTATTATATGCGGGTTTATGAGAGAGGTGCCTCCGCAGTATGACCTGGATTTGTCCGTATAATATGTGTGTTAGTGTGTCCTTGGTGCTGACCTCACCAGGATGCAGCTCTGATCTGTTGCTCTCTGTTCAGTGCCTGCTCCCTTAATTAAACGTTGATTAAATGCCTATTAATGCACCCTGACTCACAGACAGGGTGTAATCAGGTGAAACAGAATTAATAAAACATCCAGTGTAGAGCTCAGGAGAGAAGGAAGGGCTCCCCTGAGAAAGACAGACAGATGGCGACAGGAATCGCCAGAGAGCGGAGAAAGCAGAGTGGGAGAGGGGATAAAGCAAAGACCAGCCACCACTTTGGTGATTAGCTCTAAATTGGTAATTTGATCTAGCCAATTCCACCTACTCATTATTGATAAGACTGACCATATTTGACCATATTTCCCCCTGCTGGTTCAGACCGGCACCACAGCACTTCCTGTCTGCATGAGTCCCACCAGCCCACGCCGCTCTGTGCTCAATGGATCTGACAGGAAGTACCTTGAGGTGGAGTTTGTGTGGAAAAGGGGGGATACACGCTGTCAACACATGCACAGTGGAAATCCCATCTGCTAGGAATCTCTCTAATCTCATCATCTGAATTGAACAAGGAAAAGAGGAGCAGCAATCACTTTAGACAAACCCTATATGGGATTATGTGCTGTACTCGCGGTGATGGGTCAAACGATGACATCAAAGACAGAAAGAGGCCATTGATTGATGCATTTTGGTTTGAACTAATAGAACACTTAGCTTTGTTTTTTGGCATGGTTTTGTAAATTAATGTTATTTCGAATTCCATTTATTTACTTTTTTGAGCCTGTTAAGGACCTTTCACCCATCTTGAGTAAAAAGCTGTGACTGAACATTCATTCTTGGCGTTGGAAACAGAAATGTTTTTTTTACATTTTGTTGTAAATTTTCTAATTTCTATTTTCCTGTAACATTAAAGGACTCGATGATGCTCTGACAAGGGAACCTTTGATCAATGAAAAACTACAATTGTGATACGTTCAAATGCTAAATATTCTTTGACTGTTCTATGAAATCCCATAGCTAGTTTCATAATCTGTAATTGACCTTTGCAAAGCTCTGCTCCTTCTTCTGCCAGGCCCTCCATGCTATACCGAACAATAACAGTGGGTCCTTGATTTCAGACAGTCGTAGACAAAAGCAGGCTTCTCATTTCTAAGTGTTAGACAATCATTTTGCTGGCTAAAATTACAACTCACTGGCAAATGTTCTAAGATATAGCCAGGTAATACGCTCTTGTTAGCTCCATGAGTTGGTTGAAAATACAAATCCAGTAGAGGCTAATGTGATAGCATCCAGTGCAAACTTCCACACAGTAAAGGAATAATACACAATGGATGTTAGCCGGACATGCTAACACTTTAGCACCGCTTTAACTTCCTAATAGTGAAAATATAGTTTAAATAATAAAAAAAAACCTTAGTTAGGCATTTTGATAGCGTTACCTCTGCTCAACTAGCTTTTAGAGACTCATTTCTGAAAGATTTATAATGACTTTCTCCAATTAAGGAGAAAATGTTTTTTTGGTTTTTTTTTCTCATTCATTTCTTTATTTATTTGGCTACCTTCCTTTGCCGTATTTTCTGTTTCAGTTAACGTATTTTCTCCACATTGTTGTCAAAGGGCAACCCAACCCCCAGCCACTTCATTCTTTACTGTCTCAAAATGTACTTGATTTCACATTCAGCATATAATTAGTAACAACAAGGTCACTGGGCCGCAAGGACCCGTGATTTACTGGGAAATTGGTTGTTGTTCCCCGTCGGTTCATTATTCGGCTGCAATTAGGGCTTCTATTAAGGATGGAGAGCTTGTGAGGTATTTCTGGCGTAATGTGCATAATCATACGTGATGTGCTTTGTTAAATACAACAGGTACGGCCTAAATGAAGCCAATAGACAAAGGCGATGAGATGGCCAGACCTACGCTGCCCTCTAGCCTCTCATAGTGGCACTGAATGGGCTCGAGAGTCTAGCACAAGCTGGCAAAGAGCTCCACACCAGTGCACTCCAAAGGAAAGGGAAGCGCACACATGTATACACACATCAAGCTCCATTGTCCTCCCACCCTGCGAGCCCCTCTCGCCCCCTGTCACCCACTCTGGTCTGGGGTTACAGCCCATGAAAGAGGGGGTGAGTCCTGGGAGGATCTGCTCTCTTGCTCCCTGGAGTGGACCAACTCTGGAGCTGACTCGGGTCTTCTGGGAGCTGCCAGGAGCTGCAAAGAGAGATGGATGAGCTGCTCTGCCGACTGCTGGGCATTGGCTGGTGATGTGTCCCCAGTGATTGATGAGTTAACACAGCGCCCCCTTGCTCCATGGGTCAAATTGATGCTCCCTTACCATTAAAACCACCATACTGTCCTGAGGAAGCGACACGTTAAAAAGAAAAGGGAAAGACATAAGGAACAGATGTTGGAAAGTGGCTGCGTGGGAGAGCAGACTCCATCATTGAGTCTTCTGCTGTAGCAGCTCAAACCACTGGAAGGTTTCACAGCAGCTCAATAATCAAGACAGAGGGGTTATTAATGCACTGGTGGGGGTTTAAATGTCTCTGGAGAGCCTTCTCACTGTGTGGCTTTATATTTGTTTTGCCAGGCTTCAGTCATTGTTCTCAGCCTGGGGGCCCACGGAGCAGGAGATTGAGCTACTGAAAGAAGTTCATCTCTGAACTCTTTTGACTGATCAATCTCAATCTGGCTCTGATCAGTCTGTTTTTAAACATAAACATGTACCTGTGCCCTCGTTATGTAATCAATATGTTTTTTTATATTTGTCTTCTTTTCTTGCAGAGACCCATTTATGTGTCTTTTGTCAGCAAGGCCATCTTGTGGGATAGAGGACTCTGCCACCACACTGTGAGTGCCCAAAATACCATTTGAACTTAATAGCAAGAAAGGAACATGAACAATGGTCCTCATGCAAGAATGTTTTAATTTTCCTATCCTAAATCTCTCATACTTTTTTCTTTTCATGAGTGTTCTAAGTTGGATTCAGCAAACCTCACAAACTTTTTTGACTTGATCATGAACATAAACGACGCCACTAAAATGCTTTATGCTACCTTTAGTCTGAAGTCCTGCTGCTGGAATACGCAGATGAAAACAGAGACCCAGAAATATTGTGATCACCTTGTGCCATGACAGAAATAAAGAGGGAAATGGTTGCCATGACTTTATTTGCCAAAATAATGTTTTGTTACTGTCAGGTTTACCAGAGGACGCCTAACTGGACACTGACAACCCAAAATACTCATGCCGGTTAGAAGTAAAGAAAATAACCCCTGAATAAACTGGTATGCCATCATGCACATCACACTGATACTGTGAACTTGGATTTTTACAAAGCATTACAATTCCTAAAACAATTGATTGTTTTTCCCCTGTTGAGAGAGGCCGACTATCTGTGCATGACTTGTACAACAAGTCTGACACACTTGTACGTGCCACTTAAGAACAAATCTGTTTATGCGAGTGATTGAGGCACATTGATTTGGGTTTTATGGATCGATATCTGCATGTTTGAGAGCTATTTATTGATATGTCAGTCAGATATTTTTACAATTCACAATTGAAATGTGTTGAAAGTGCTTTTTTTTTTATTATCCGAAACCCAAAACCCAAAGATATTCAAGTTACAATGACAATATAGAGGAAAAAAGCAGCAAATCTTCACAAATGATAACGTGAAACCATCCATGATAAATGACATAAATAATGAATCCATCATTAAACTTATATTCACTGATTCATAAAGCTTTTCAGACATTAAACCAAATCCTAATTATCTTGCTTTGTGTCTATCAAGTAAAAAGAAACACACACACACACACACACACACACACACACACACACACACACACACACACACACACACACACACACACACAGACACACTCACTCCTCCTCTTCTTCTTTCTCTCCTCCAACACTCAAAAGTCCCCACCTCTCCCCTTTGCTGAAAAGAGTCCGGGAGTGGATGTGCCACAATTAACAGTGGGGTTGCCATGGGGACAGCAGAGTTGTGTGGGCTGGCTTCCTGTCTTGGCCTCTGGTTAAACAAACAAGTAAAGTCGGCAGACAAAGACGCTTGCTGGTCCTTACAGCCTCATTTACATCCTCAACTGCCTTCAGCACTTCTGCATTCAGCAAGTTCATCAGGCCTGGCATCACCCTCTGCCATTCTCCATCTCTCCACCGCTGTTGCTATATGTAGTAAATCATGAGGGCATTGTGATGGTAAAACTGCTCCCGTCATGCACCGACACAACTTTTTACAACAAGCGTGTCCCTGTCTAAACAGACAGACAGCCGACAAGAGGCTGTTGACCCAGCAGTCTGCTTTATATAGGCGTCAAAGCTCCCGTACTGTCACCAGGGACACGAACGGCAATGGGACCGTCCAGGTCAGAATGCACAGGTGCCCAAACACGGCAACAGAGCCGCAGAGTTCCAGTTTAAAACTTAATATATGTGGGGGTTCAACCCTGGTTTTATGGTTTCACTAGCTGACTCGTAGTTGTTTTCTTAAATAGTGGACAGAGAAAAGCCTTGTCACTCTCTCACTTGTTACTGATAACCCATGATGATATACAGCAGACATTAATCAGAGGTTTACTGTTAAATGTTGTACTTTAATGTCATGTAGTCAGCGGTGGAAAGTACATTTACTTAAGTTAGTGCCTGGCGATATAGCGGATGGACTGGTGTACCAGTTCATATACCGCTTTACCGGTACATTGGTGAAACAACTGCTGTGATAATTTTTTTTCTTGTGCAACAGAACATTTGAGGTGTATCTCTTTGATTGCTTAAATACAGAGGTGGTAAAAATACATGCATTCTTTACTCAAGTAGAAATACTGAGAACTTCTTTGCTCAAGTAAAAGTGAAACAGTACAGGTTCTGAAATATGCCGCAAAGTATAAAATAAGAAAATCTCTGTTGCCTGTTTTATCTTGTTAGGTTGTCACATTTTTTTAATGTTGTTTTCAGTGTTGTCGTTGTGTTACGTCTGTCTGTGATACACACTCAGGGATTACAAGTAAAAAGTTAAAAAAATAAATACTCAAGGTACCTGAAAAAACTACTGAAGTACAGTAACATACAAATAATTTGTTAATGTACCTAAGTACTTCTGCTTAAATACATTGAGTATTTTATTTCAGTTTATATGGTTTATACAATCATTTAAAAATATTTTGTTTTCTAAAACAAGGAAAGTTATCTGTACGAGTATTAAAATACATTACTTTAGGTTTCAAGTTTCTTCACTACCTCACAGTAGTGTAACTCTGACAAAGATTGATGAATGGATTAAACAGCGCAAGCAAGCTCGTATAATCAGCTAATAGACTGTCATAGTGTTGGCAAAAAAATGCCACCCCACCAATATAGTCCTTTAAACCGATTTAGCATAGCATTGCTACACCATTGTTGGACTCAAGATGTTCACTTAAAAAAAATAGCAATAACCAAAAATGTTGTCTGTAAAAATTAGTCTTTTTTATTTCATGGATTCTTCTTCCTTGTCAAAACCGGGTGCCTACATTACCCACGCTGCAGACTGTGTTTTGAGAGTGTTATGCAAGTAATTGCTGATGTAGCCTCGAGACGCTGACCTCAAGCAGAGATGAGGAGCGGTCTCCAGATTTCTGGTCACTAATTTCTCACTCCACACCCCTAGATGTTTTTGTAGTCTTCATCCCCACCAAAGTTACCTCACCCCAACACTTGTTAACACACTTGCTGTGTAAAATCTGTGCTGTTAAATAAAGTATTTGAATACTTCTTCCAGCACTGTATGTAATGCCGACTTTGAGTCCTGTCATCCTGTGCTCTGCTGTTGTGTTGCGTTGTTTCAGGCTGTGGAGGCTTCAGGAGAAGAGTTGCAGGGCCCTCTGGAACTGCGCGGGCCTGTAAAAGGGGGGTCATTGTCTAACCATCGAAAGTAGAAAGTTGCTCTGAATGCTAAGCTGTATCTGAGCCTGGCTTCTGACACGAGCTGATAATCAGATTTACTCCCCTGAATCCGCCGGACTCCACAATGCGCCCCACTGTCGTCGTCCCCCGCTTCGCCTCTCGCCGGCCCCCTCGCCAGCATCCCGACCCTTCATCCACCCTCCCTCCTCCCCCGCAGCAAAGCTAATTACACCCCGCAGAAACACAAATCTCCATGATTTAAAAAGTCACTCTTTTTCAGGGGTTTAACCTTGTTAGGGCCTAAGCCTGGCTTTCTTGTGCACCAGCTCTGTGAAGAATTCTCTGTTCCTGCAGACACTGGGACATAGACACACTTCTGTCTTTGCTCGTAGTCGTCCGCCTGTCAGAGGGTTCACTCGGAGGCAGTGTAATTAACTGTGTGTGTCCATGTGTGTCTGTATCGCTGCTTATGTACGCTTGTGTGTATATGTGTGTGTGTTTAGAGGTGAGGGGGGGTGAAGGAGCACACGCAACTCTGTCCTCTGCAGGCCATCTGGGACTCTGACTAACTAATAGACTTCCTACATTCATCGAGCAGCGCTACTTGTACGTCTCAATCAGGGAGCTGTTGACCACAAACAGGCCCGTAATGACATTAGCCGGTTCTGGCTGTGTGAGGACAGCGTGTGGGTTGCCTGACGCCAGGAGGTCAGCCTGTTTCCTGGGGGCCTGCAGGGCCCCCGAAGGAGCCCATATGAGTGTTATGGGTGTCTACAAAAACTACAGTATTACCTACTGTCTCTGATGGAAATGGCTTCCTCTGTGTCACACTTTCCAGTAAAATTAAACCCGTTTTCCAGTAATGAGTAGTGCAGCAAAGTACTAATATTCATCCGAACGGTAATTTTAGCTAATTGTACTTTTGACTGTAAATATTAGATTGTAGCTGACGTGCCAACAAACAGTAAGCAACATCTGATTCAGCTTTAGTATTCAGCATTGCAATTGTCTTGAGAGATGCACAGATATATGAATTTGTGAAAATTGTGGAAACAAATGTTTTTGAAATTGCACAACTTAATCGAGGAATTCAGACTACATTCATTTAGATAAATGGTTTCCAAGTATCCCAAACTTATAAATTCAGTTGTATTAAGTCAGTCAGTAGCTTCTTTATGAAAATGTTTTGCCTTCATTTTTTACAGAAGCACACAAGCTAAAGGGAACTAATACGACTGAATGTAATATCACTGTATTAATGGGTAATTCCGGTTTATTACAACTCACAGCTATGATTAACATTGTATTCACTAAAGTAATTGCTCTGAGATCTGGGAGCAACATCCGCAGCACTCTAATTGTCATTAATTAGCCCTGTTTTCAGAGAAAAACTGTGTACACACAACCACAGTGAATACAGAGTTTAACCTGGAAGTCTGTCTTTAAACTTGACAATTGACAGTTGTGTAATAATTTTACTGTATGTCTTTGTTTTTGTCTCGTGAATAAGTTTGGCCAATCTTGGTGTTGGTCCACAACCTGCGTTTCGGATTTCTTTTCCAGATCTTTTTTGTTAGAGACCCAGGTTTGACAAAACAAACATCCCTAAAAGGTCTTTTAGAAGTGGTTATGGAGCTTTCAATCGTATCACACAGTCTTCATCAGCAGATGTAGTTTTCCATGTCGTAGAATTGTATATAGCACTTTAAATCTCAAGACCCAAGTTACAATAAACCTGAATTATCCTTTAATAAGAATAGTTTTCTGAGTATAGCATCACGATACTGTTCCATTAAGAGTCAGTAAATTATATTGATCATGGCCCTTGCAGCACTTTCTACTGATCCACATGTGTGAAGATAAAGCAAGACAAGGCAAGTTTATTTGTATAGCAACTTTCAAAAACAGATGCAAAGTAAAAGTGCTTAACACATGGGAAGAAAATAATTTAAATGACAGTTAAAACAGGCGAAAGAATAGAATGAGTTTGAATTGGATACGTAAAAGTGATAAAGAAGGAATTTGGTTTTTAAAAAAACGTCAGAAGACGAGTGAAGTTCGTTCCAGCTGCAGGTGTAAACGGCTCCTTCGGGGTCGATCTTGCACAGAAAACCCGTCAGTGTGACCATGTGTGATAAGATCAGTGTGTTTAACTGACGCGCAGCTTTGTTCTGTACTGTATGCATGATTGTGATTGCGTGTATGGATGCTTTAAAAGAGCTTTTGCGTGGGTTGTAATGACACAGACATGCGTTAAACATTCGTGCCCAGACCTGCTGTGCGGGAGGTTACGGGTCTGATGACACCAACCTGGAGTCTAGCCTTCGAAAGCCCTCCTCAGCCGTTTGACAGGCCTGAGTGACAGGTAATGAGGAGGCCGTAGGGGAGGTAGAGGAGCGAGAAGGAGAAAGGACCCCATCACCGGCTCTTGTTCTGCTTTTTCTACCTCACTTCTCCCTCTTTACATCACAAGAATGCAAATCTTTAAAGCCTCCAGATCTGAGAAAAGGGAATCAGTGGAGATGGTGCAGGGATTTAAAAGCTGATCCTCCCTGTGTGAGTCACAGACAGTGACCCCACCTTCCTCCCCCCCACTTTCTCCCCCCTTTCTCTCTGTCTGTCTGAAGGTCTCCTGGTTCATCGTTGTATTCAGACAGATGTTGTATCTGTGCATTTTCTGTTTGTTTTTATTGTGTGTTAAAAGAGTGAGGAGCTGAACTTTGTTTTACATGAAGCTTAAATCCAAGTCAAATAAAGCCCCGCGTCTGTGGGCCATTTATTACAATTGTTTGCTCTCTAAAGGCCACTGAATGAGTCACTGCAACCAAGGCTGTACGCTGGGCTGGTTTTCACTGGTTGGCATGCTGCAGGCAGTCGTCCGTCCCTCCACATATCCAATATTGACCGTCCTGCCCGCTTTTTTATCTCCCATGTCCCGACAGTGTACTCTGAGGAGGTTTATCACCCTTGAGATAATTTTCTGCCTCCTTTCTTTTAAGGCGGAGGAAGGTTGTGGGTGTAAGAAGAGAAAACTGGAGTTACTTTTATGTGCTGAGGAAGAGGAGGAGGTGTGATCTGTTTAGTCAACACAAGGGGGCAGTGGTGGCAACGTGCATCCTTTGAATTCTCCTCCACCAACAGTACAGCAGGGATCCCCATTCAGGCTTTTATTTTGTGGTACACAGATGTGACCCAGAGTGACTTTTATTTTGTATTTTGATACATAGGGCATATGTTCTTAGATACAAAACAAATGTCACCACAGAATGCAAAAAGGTTAAATTGGAGGATTACAACAGTATGTACCATAATGTGAAAGACTTTTATTTATATCTTATGACGGAGTATTCGGGCCATACTTCATCACAAGAATAAAGTCATAATATTAGGTCTACGAGAATAAAGTCGTAGTATTAAGAGAATAAAGTCATAATATTGTGAGAATAAAGTCGTAACATTACATGAATAAAGTCGTAACATTAAGAGAATAAAGTCATAATATTAGGTCTGCGAGAATAAAGTCGTAATATTATGAGAATAAAGTTATAATATTAGGTCTATGAGAATAAAGTCATGACATTACTAGAATAAAGTCGTAGTATTACGAGAATAATGTCATAATATTGCGAGAATAAAGTCGTAACATTATGAGAATAAAGGCGTACAATTACGAGAATAAAGTCATAATATTACGAGAATAAAGTCATATTATTAGGTCTACGAGAATAAAGTCGTAATATTATGAGAATAGAGTCATAATATTATATCTACGAGAATAAAGTCATGACATTACTAGAATAAAGTCGTAGTATTACGAGAATAATGTCATAATATTGCGAGAATAAAGTCGTAACATTATGAGAATAAAGGCGTAACATTACGAGAATAAAGTCATAATATTACGAGAATAAAGTCAAAATATTAGGTCTGCAAGAATAAATTAGTAAGATTACGAGAATAAAGGCGTAACATTATGAGAATACAGTCATAATATTAGGTCTACCAGAATAAAGTCGTAACATTACTAGAATAAAGTCAAAATATTAGGTCTACGAGAATAAAGTCGTGACATTACGAGAATAAAGTCGTAACATTATGAGAATAAAGTCATAATATTACGAGAATAATGTCATAATATTGTGAGAATAAAGTCATAATATTAGGTCTACGAGAATAAAGTCGTAATATTATGAGAATAAAGTCATAATATTAGGTCTACGAGAATAAAGTCGTGACATTACGAGAATAAAGTCGTAGTATTACGAAAATAATGTGATAATATTGCGAGAATAAAGTCGTAACATTACGAGAATTAAGTCATAATATTACGAGAATAAAGTCATGCTCAGGCTGAGGTCAAGTCAGCTGGTCACGTCAGATCTTGATAACTCTTTCGAATCTTTTTTCTCATTAAAACAACTTTTTTTCTTGTATTATTATTACACTATTCTCATAATATTATGACTTTATTTTTGTAATTTCCCAAAAAATAATTTAGTTTTTTTTCTTAGTCTGGCCCTAATATTCCGTCGTAATGTATACATGTATATTAGTGCATATTACATATGATATGTATTCATATTTTATATTTTTTGCCTTTATATTTTATTTAAATTGTTCACATTTTGTTACATTTATTTTGATTTATTGATATTATTATTTATTGGTATTTTTTCTTTTATTTATTTAAGTTGTTAATGTATTCATTATTATTATTTATATATTTCAATCAATTCATTTTTTTAATCATTTATTTATGTTTATATTTATATATATATATATATATATATATATATATATTAATTACATTTTCTTGTTTTCCAGGCTCACGATCGTCCAAATCACCGTCCCTTATTGTGTCCACGGTTCCTGTCTCACATGAAGGTCCGTCCCGAGGACCTCAGACCTCCTTGTTTCCTGAGCTCCAAGTCCAGACTGCAGCCTCCATCTCAGGGGAAGACGACCTATACACACACTTTCGCTGCCCCAAAGACACAAACGCTGGAGGGTGAGGCTTATCAACAAAACACCTGGTGCTTTCACACCATCACAGCCACAACAGGAGGAGGGCACTGGCTCCTTTTGACTCCACAGCTCTGCTCATTAACAATTTTTCTCGCCTTTTCTTCCTCTCCTGGAGCAGTGGAGGTAGAGGCCACCAGGCTCGTCGTTAGCTCTTAATCTCTCTCTGCGGTTGTGTTTGGTTAAGTGCAAATCTCCTCTCTGGCGAGGAAGTGCCCACAGCGCCGCCCTCCTGGTGGTCCTCTGGTGGGAGTGAAAGGCCCGGGGCCGGGAGACCTGCCGCTCCATTCAGAGCCCCGGCCTCTGATGTGAAGGCATCTTTCCCAGGACACACCTCAGCTCCACAGCAGGGAACTGCTTTCACCATGCTCTGTGTGTGTGTGTGTGTGTGTGTGTGTGTGTGTGTGTGTGTGTGTGTGTGTGTGTGTGTGTGTGTGTGTGTGTGTGTGTGTGTGTGTGTGTGTGTGTGTGTGTGTGTGTGTGTGTGTGTGTGTGTGTGTGTGTGTGTGTGTGTGTAGAGCAGAGAAGGGGGGCATTTCTCAACACTGGGGTCTAATACTAATTATTCTACCATATGGTGGTCGGCTCCCTCACAATCGCCCTTAACCCTGCTCCCTGAAGCAACGTGCTGCGCCCTACGCTGTGGCTTTGCACTCTGACACATATCATTCATATGCACATCAGCACACACACATGCACCAGTTCACGCGCACTTGTGTGTGTGTGTGTGTGTGTGTGTGTGTGTGTGTGTGTGTGTGTGTGTGTGTGTGTGTGTGTGTGTGTGTGTGTGTGTGTGTGTCGATGTGTGTGTGTAACAGATGGGAATGGCAGGGCATTGTAAGAGGAGGCAGTACAGAAATGTGCTCTCCAATGCGTTCTCTTTATCCTCCTGTGCTGACTCCTCTTGGTGGCAAACCCCCAGGAAACAAGAGCAGATTGTTTGACACCCCCCCCCCCCATCACACACGCAACACACACAACACACACCCTCTCAGTGGTCAATGCAAAATAGGAGGGGAGAGAGAAAAGGAAGGGGTGTGCAAAGGCAAAGTGGGGAAGAATGGAGAAGGCGAAAGGGAAATGGGCGGCACTGGATGGAGTTAATGTTTGTGGAGGAGAATCTCGGAGGGATGAAAGGAAATGTTCAGAAGGATAAAGTGGACTGGAGATAATGAGTGTGGTAGGAAGAGAGAAGGATGTACAAGTGTTTTAGAAATGGGTTCGTCTATGCACTTCCTGTGGTGCTGAAATGATTAATCAAGTCATTGTTTAAGTCTTTCATCAAGCAAAAATGCTCCAAATTGTCGTGTGCCAGCTTCTCAAATGCAAAAGAGAACATACAACTCTAGAGAACCCAGAATAGACACTGTAGTTCCTCCTCCACACATTACTGTCAGTGGTCACTGCCAAATACAGACGCGAGTGGTGTTCAGTTAGTTGCAATCTGAAACGTCACTGTCAGAGGCCACTAAATTGTACACACTAGCACTTAAATGGAAAAATAATCAAGAATTACACAATAATGAAGAATGAATGGCTACAGCTTTGAGTGAATATTAGAAATCCAGTGACCAGTTTTGGCAGATTTGACGCCAAGTCATCCTTTTACAGCTGTAAAAGTAGCCCTTTTAAAGAAAAAATATTTTGGATTTCCATCCAAAAAGCTATACCTCTGGTCTTTATAAGCATAACAAGGCTCCCAAATCCTTTAGATTGTACAATGTTGAAAGACTTCACTTATATAACCAGATGTAACCTGTTTTGCAAGGCATCAATCACAGAGCTCAGAATTAGAAAAGATTTCAGCAAAGTTGTTAGAAACTTAAATGTGATTTTTATGTTATTGGTTGCTGCATGTTGAGCCCATTGAAGTTGCTCTATTGTCTCTATATTTACATAGTAATTGGCTTCAGGGGTGAATTCATTGAAATATGGTCTAATTTTGGCCTAACTGACATTTCTAAAAGCACTTGTGTTTTATGACACCTGTAACTGCCACGATATTGTGCCGGCTCCAGCTTATGATAAAGATGTCTGCATACAAGCTCCTCTGCCCTCAGGTCTGATTACTATTGTGAATGTGGAGTTTGGAAACAGGCAGCTGCTCCAGCGGGGCAATTTCTTGGTGCCTTTGTTATCGGGCCGACCCACCCAGCAGGGAAACAAATGTTTGTTCCAGGACTCTGCAAAGTGGGAACGAAAATGTCACAAGCAGACTTTGGCAGTTTTAAAAAATGACCTACGACATGTTGACTGTTGGAAAACTTTGTTGAACAGTAAAATGTTTTTTTTTTTTTTTAAGGGTCGGTTTTGGAGAATCCCTTTGAATGAATGTATATCTTTACAAAAAATATATGTTTTTGTCTTTCTTGAAGGTGACTTCAATGCTGACAGAAGAAGAAGACATTTTGTGCGGAATGAGAGTTTGATCGCAGGGAGGCGCTCTGCTGTTGTTGTTCCCTGTCTTCCATCTCCTGCTACTCCACCATCATCCACCATTAATCCAACACCTCCCCACCAAAACACCCTTCACCCCGACTCTGAAGGACAACAAAGCAAGCCGAGCTCTGTGCCAGCATCTCCCTCCGACCCTCGTCCTGCTCCAGAGGAAAAATGTGAAGTTCAGGAGAGCGAGCGACAGCCTGCTGTGGTGTCTATCACAGAGTCCGACTGGAGGCTGCATCTCGGGCCTGCTGGACCAGAGCGCTCGCCATCGCCAGCCTCCACGGCCTCACATGGTTCTCTCTCAGATTTTAGTCGTCCACCTTCCAGCTTGTTCAGCCGGAGCACAGACCTCGCCAGTGGCAGGAGCAGTGTCCTGTCCAGTAAAACCTTGAGTAAAACTTATTGATTGTTATTCAGTTAATCAATGAATCATCTGAAAATGTCAATCACAAGTACCCAGAGCTCAATATGATATCTTCATATTGCTTTTCTATTCAGTGTTATAAAGATATGATATATAACAGAGAGAAGCCGCAAATCCTCACATTTCAGAAACAAGAACCACATAATATTTGACATTTTGGCTTCATAATCTGTCAATAATTGGTTAATGAACCAATAATTTGAGAAGTAATCTCTTTTAAATGCACCCTTGAAGTTATTCAGCAAGGATGAAGGATCAATGGAGAGAAAATTCAACAAAATACGGTGTAAAATCACACATTGTAGAGTTATTAATAAATACATACTTGTATGCGTGGAAATTTTATCACTTTATTAGTTTGTTAATGTATGCTGGAAATAGTAAAAAGTATTTCTCGAACCTTAAATCGTAACACCTCACTTTAAATTCCCCTATTTAGCATTTGTAAGCAGTATATAAAGATTTATTAGATGGTTTACAACACATTATGTAGTTATAAGCAGATATAAGTGTTTGTTAAGTGTTTGTCAACAACTATAACTCGTCCTGTGGACGCCGTTAAGTGGACGCTGGTGTATAAACAGATATTACAGTATACATATATAAGAAAACTGCTGAAAGTTCAGTGCTTAATCAGGCGAGTGTGGTTTGATCATATTTGACTGATGGTGGCGTCTCCATGGCAACATAAACACACAACCATCCGATTGTTGTCAGATTCAGATTTTGGTCAGTTGGGATCGATACTGGTAAATGAGTGGCATCACGACAAGATGCAAAATTGAGAAAATAGTTTGTTTTTCACTTTCTACAACAAAAAAATCTAATTACAAGCAAAAAAAACAACTGCCATTTTTCATGTTTTCAGACTGAATGTGGGCATTTACAAGACAGGAGTGCCAAATGTAGGATTGCCAGTTTGCCAATGTTGCTTTAGCCCAAGCTAAAATGTCTTTGGATCACTGCTTTGTTATGACTGTCTTGGCAAAACGAGGCCTGTTATCTGCAGAAGTCTCACTGTGAGTCCTCATTTGTGCAGTCGATTAAGCTACCTTCTTTTGCTCTGTTGTTTTGCAGCAGACATCAGGGACCTAGAAGGCAGCATTTGTTCCTCTCCACTCCGGCCATCTCCGCCTTACCCTCCAGCAGGATCCAACCCTCGCCGATCATCCGCAAATACTGCGACCACCCCTCAACTCTACGAACCACTCTTTGGTCAAATCAAACCCCTCTCAACTCGCCCAACGTCAGCCGTCCTTCCTCAGTCAGACAAACCGATGAGCAGGCTTGAAAGCTCAAAAACAGCAGAATATCTCCACCAAGATACGTCTTTAGATCCTGCTCTCAACCCGTCCTTGGACTCCGATCACGGTCTCATTACCCTGGCTTTCCCCTCCACTACTTGGTCTTCCTGCCCAAGTCCACAGAGGACCACTCCCCGCTCAGGGTCAGGACCAAAGCTGACCCCTTCTGCATCAGTGACTCAGCTGGAATCCCATCGCTGGTCTGTCCTGCCTCCTATCTCCCCTGTCAGAGGTGAGAAATGAGCTCTGCCGGCCACATATGGACCGTTCACAGCCTCCTCCCTGCCCATAGTCTTAGGAGCCTGATTGTCCTGAACATGGCTGGACATCCACCCACAGACAAAGCCACTGGGCCAGACACAGAGAATTCAAAGCCTGCTTCCATAGTGAGGCGTTCTGATGCTCCTGCCCCCATCAACACATTGTGAAAGCATTGCTGTCAGCCTGTTTTTCCCCACCTTCTCCCACCCCATAATAAATAACGCAGAAAGCTTTTCTTTTTCCTCTAAATCAGCAATAGAAAGGAGGGCTTTTGATGAAAAGCTGGTACCGTTTGATTCCCCGTTCAAAGGCATGAGGCCCCAACAATAGAAGTCGGGGTGCCTACCTCGTGTGCCGTGCCTCTCAGCCTCGGCTCCCCCGTGCCTTCGCTATTCTCTGGGCTCCTAGAGGGAGACGTGTAGCCGATGGTCATAAATCCACACTGACCACTGCTCGCTGACGGCAGAACACTGAGGACGAACGCCACAATAGAATACCTCTGCGGCTTTCCTGCAGACGCTAATTTACCGTTCCCAATGGGGATAAAGGACAGGGCCACTGACATCTGACTTCTCCTGGAACTTTATGAAAGAAAGCAAACAATGTGGAAATTGTGTAGGGATTTTCTCTTTTCTATCAGAGACATCTACTGTTCTCTGTGTGGTGCTGTACTGCAGGGGGGCCCATGCTGTATCGGAGCATGCTGTTCTCTTCACGGCAGACACAGAGCGAGTGTCACTGGTTCATTTATTTCACCGCAGATGGAGGCAGTTCAAGCTCAACGTGGCCTCAATGGCAGCGTGTAAAGCTTAAAGGATGAATCTGTTTTTTACAACTTGGGTCTATTTTAATAGTTTCGGCCATCATTTCCAATTGCTATGATAACTTTGCTCTCACCAAAGTAATATGGGAACATCCCTACAGTGAAGTCTGATGGGAAAAGAAACCACCATTTGACAGGTTGTAAATAAGCCAATAAGCTTTATTTGGAGGTGAAACCAATAGTGACCACACCCAAAATGTCTGTAAGAATCCGGCATTGCACAGGTACTACAACAAGCACAGGCTGACAAAGTTGAACCAGAATTGCTCTATTAACCAAATAAGTTAGGGCTAACTTTGGGGTTAATTTAGGACCATGTTCGGACAGACAACAGAACATTTTTCATGTAAAAAACATTTCAGCCCTATGATTAATTTCATTGAGGTCATTGCAGGTGTGTCGATCCAGAGGGCCACAAAAGTTAAATCCGGCCCAACTTTTGTGGCAACTCATTCAGCCGTAATTCAACAGTGCTGGTAGTAATACAAATAGTAGCGGTAGTAAACCAACATTCCTGGTTGGTTGTTCATGTCTCACCTGTACCTGATGCAACATGCCCCTTTCATTGCAGATGCATGGGGTCTTTTTTTAATTCTTACATGCCCAAATGTACATTGGAAGAGTTTTTAGTCACTGTGACTTCTTTCTTTCATTGTAAGTAAAGGGGACAATATCAATCGGTCAACATATTTCATGCATAAATTAATTTTTAGAATTAAGCTGAAGTTAATATGAGGCTTCTGCAGTCTGTGTTAGACAAACCAAATCAAGTGGGGACACGCTGTTGATGGAATAACAAAGAGGTAATTCGACACACAATAAGGTTCCCACTTGATTTGTCTAAATTGTTACACAAACTGAGAACTGTATATTTTGTCTCCCATCACTTACACATTTAAATCACTTTAAGAATACATTTAAGACTTAATGTCTTTAAGACAGGCCTGTTGCACAGACCACTAGTTATTCCCAGATTTCAACTACTAACTTGGTGAGGACAATGTCATTATTACTGCTCAAACTTAAACCATAAAGCCCAAGTTGTCATAAACTCTAATAATCTTTTAAGACGTTATTGAGAGAGATATCCAAAAAAATCCTTTCTTAAAAAACTGGCATTAGTAGATGAGGTGGACTGTTTCTCCAGCAACAAATCAGGTGACCTGGTATATATACTGTATATGGCTGCTGAGGCTGATGGGAGTCTCTTCATCCCGCTCAGCCCTTTTTGACCTCCAGCTTGGCTTTTCAGATCCCCTACAATCCATAAAGTGACCCCGAGCTGACCCGTTTTGAGCAACATCTCCAGAGTGTAACTGTCCTTGACAATGAAGCGGGGCACTGTCCTGGCCTGGCCTGGCCTCTCCACTCGGGGGCCTTTTAGCTCGGCACTGTGACCAGGAAAAGAGGGCCACAGGCACACAGAGAAAGCCTTGTCTGCCTCTAACTCTGTCATATCAAACTCACTGACCCCCCACCGCCACTCTTAACCTCCCCGAAAAACTCACCCTGACTCAGTGCGGCCCTCTTCTGCTGAGAATGACAGCTGAGTTGACAGCAGCAATATGCTTTGAAGTGTCAAGTCAAGTCCTTCCATTGTCTGTCGGAGTAGAGAGCCGAGGCGCTCAAGTGCACAATAGTGCAGTGGTGTGTGTGTGTGTGTGTGTGTGTGTGTGTGTGTGTGTGTGTGTGTGTGTGTGTGTGTGTGTGTGTGTGTGTGTGTGTGTGTGTGTGTGTGTGTGTCGTTGTTCACATACTTGACTGCGTGAGGGTGGCTTCATGTGTACATTTATACTCGTCCATGTGGGCAGACACGAAGGAGCAGAGTTTGCCTTTTCCTTTTAGAGCCTCTGTATATATTATCCTTTTGTCCGGGCCAAGCTGTTCTGCATTTCTAATGTGAGAAAATCCTCGACAAGTCTCTTTCAGGACGACGACAAAACACACCACCCAGTGAAACAGTTTCTCTCGCTAATCCTAATCCTAATTTCTAAACCAGGCAGAGTGAAACTGTTTTGTTTTGATGGTTTGAGAGGAGATAAGTAATTAGTGATTTATCTTGACAGTTTTTACCATTCCTCTGAGTGAGGTCTTTGGTAATTTGAGCTTAAGGGCAGAGTTTGTGTGTATATTGGAGGTGAGATGAGACTACTTTCACCCCCGAGATCTGACTGTAACTTTGTGCTCAGACCTTCATACCTCGCCTGAGGGGCTTCACTCATGGAGGTCCTGGTGTCTGTGTTGGGAGTTGACCACTTGTCAGAGTGTAAAACCTGGAAGGGACAGGCTTTAACTAAACCCACAACATCCAGGCGAGATTTATAGTCTGATAGCTGGATCGGAAAACATCCTCCAGGAGCTTTCCTTTAGCTCTCTGCTCTGTGGTATTCTTTACATCTCATTAGTTGTCAGTCCAATCTTTATCCTGGAGATTTAGTGAAATCACAACAATACGTGGTTGTTGTTATTATGGGCCACGCTAGCTAGCTGAGCTAACTGCTTGCAAATATGAGAGTGGTATCAATCTTCTTATTTAACTTTTAGAAAGAATTAAGTTTATTCCTTTAACAGATAGTTGGAATATCACTAAAACCTGATTTTCAGCCTTGTTTATTGTCAAGATATGAAATAGATCATTCTAATTAGAATCACTTACCTCAAAAAACAAGTAAATCTATTAATCTTGGGTAAGAAAATAAAAGATTTAATCCTCCTAAAAGAAGGTAAAAGGCATTCTGCAGTGTGCGCATTAAACTCTCCCAGTTGTTTTATTGTTATTCACACACCTCTTTGCTGTTTCCTATTATTTCCTAATGAAACAACCCACTGTGCCCACATGTATCATTAAAGTTACATCTAATCCTCATCATTGTGTTTATCATCGTAACATAATACACCCACTCTGTGCTGTTGCAGGACGCTGTGGCACAGCAGCATCACGCTACTCGGAGCTCAGCTGCAGTCAGTCTCATGTGTTTGATGAACTGGAGGCCATTGCCCCTCGGTCAGCTTCCTGTCCGTCTCTGGACCAGACATCAGACTCATCAGGTTCTCCTTCCCCTGATACAGGTACACGCACAAACACACACCTTACTGAACAGTAACTGCAACTAAGAATTATTTTCATTATTAATTCATCTATATTTCTTAGCCATGCCAGCAGCATCAAAAATGAAATACAATATACAACAGCAACTATTGGCTGGTGCAGATATTCATGGTTCCTTCTCATGGAGGAGTCGGGATGAATTGTAATTACTGTGGTGATCCTCTGACTTTGATAGCGCCATCATCAGGTCAGAATTTTGTCCCGCAGCAGATGCACATTAGATCATCACCAATTTGAGAAGATTTTGTCTTGAAGAATCGCCTCATATTTTTTTTTATGTTTATCTTTTTGAGGTCATAGTCTTCATAGTCAATCAATGGTCAAACTTATATTGTATTCCTCCTTTTGCTGGGGACCCCCTACAACCCACTCAAGGACCCCAGTTTGAAAACAACTGTGCTAGACTACAATGGTGATTATGCTAAATATCAGCCTTATTATTATAGAGTTACATTAGAAATGTTGTATTTTGCTCAAGGTTTGGATAATCACTTTTTTGTAGCTCCTCTTGAAGTAGATTCTGACAAAGGTGGAAAATGATATGATTGAATGTCATAACTCCCCACATTGTGTTGTACTTAATGTTTTTGTGTTTGTTTGTTGTTGTTTCCATCTCTATGCGACTCCCAGTAATGTCTCAATTAGACATGCTCTCCTTCCTCTGTGACTTCTGCCTTGTTACAGACGGGGATGGGCTTATCTGAGCACTCAGTGTGTCAGGTCTTTGTATCAGCCCATGTTGGCCAACAAAAGCAGAGTAAATGTGATGTGTGTGTGTGTGTGTGCATGCATGCCTGTGTCAGATAGCATGTGTAAATGTGTGTGTGTGTCCTGGAGGTGGTTCAGCGAGCCGCTGAGAGAGACATTAGCCAATGAAGACTTCCTCCACCTCCCTCATAGCCCGCTAATCCCTGACAAGGTGTTTAACCTGCTTGCTTGACCCGGACCTCCATCTAACCCCAGCGACCTTTGCCCCGAGGATGTGGAAGGATCAGGGCGACCACTGCCATGGCAACCACAGTCTGATAAAATCAACTCAGGGCTCAAACCAAATGTGAGCTAATGCTCCAGACTGATTTTTATCAGCGACTGACACGGAGCACAATTTACATCTGTATAGAATGTGGCTGATTTAAAGCTTCACTGAGCAGGATTTTTATTGAAAGATACAGATATCTTATCAGGCTCAATCACAAAGTGGCAACACTGAGGAGAATATTTCATCTTTAAATACATGTGGAGAGCCAGTAATAAATGAATGAACAGATTCAGCGACTGAACTGAGCAAATAAACCAAATCGGAAACAGATGGAAAGAAAATCTGCCCAAATGCAACATGCATACATTTATTTTCCAAAAAACCCAAGTCACCAAGAGGGACTGGAGGACAGTCTGACCTGACAGAGAGCCAATACTGGCAGTGACATGATGCTTCTCCATTTAATAAGCAGTTATGGTCGAGATGAGCAGAAAAAAATGTTGTGCACTTGACAGTTGATCAGAGTGGAAAGGGAATGCACTCAGACTGCTCTGTTGTGGAAAACCTCGGGCTGATAAGGCAACTTGACACCAGTGGTCTTTTCAGAAAAACCTTAGGGTTACTTGATCGGTTGTCAAAGAAAAAATTAAATGGCAACTTTTTTGATAATCAATTAAGAAGTTCAGGCATTTTTTTCAAGCAAAGTGAGGATTTGCTGCTTAAATCTGTTTGATAACACTGATTATCTTTATCTTTAAAGTTCAGAGTTTGACTTTTGGGACTATTAGGACTTGTATGGATCATCCTATTTGACGTTTACTGACTCCATAAATTGTATTCAACTCAGAAGTTTAAAAACTGTTTTTCTCAAACTTAATATCGCCAAAGTACAAAGCTTTTGAATTAGACGTGTGTCTGCGCTCTTCTGTTTGCCGGCCCCCGAGTGGGTGGCAACCAGTGTGTCCAACACAAGATTAGTCATTTGTTATCAGCCACTGTGTTTGCTGAGTGTCTCTTAATGTTATGGCTACTTTTGGCTAATTATATACTAATACCCGGCCTAACTGAAAGTGTGTCCCGCCACATTATGTTACACCCACAGTTATCCCAGGGATTTCCTCTCAACGACTCCTTAATTTATCAACCCAGGCAACAGTTCCTTTTTCTCCCCTGAGGGATTACTTTACCAAAGCGTCATCACACCTACACACATCTGTAACTTCCCAACTGGAAATACTTACAGGAGGTGCGTGTGCGTGTGCGTGTGCGTGTGCGTGTGTGTGTGCGTGTGTGTGTGTGTGTGTGTGTGTGTGTGTGAGAGAGTAGTGGACTCATTGCATAACACAATTAAGACAAACCTTAAACTTTCTGGGTGTGAAAGCTACTTTAATGTAAAGGGGATGTGGAGGCTTATGTACAGCTTTTTGGGATGTTGCTGGGAATGTGTGTGTGTGTGTGTGTGTGTGTGTGTGTGTGTGTGTGTGTGTGTGTGTGTGTGTGTGTGTGTGTGTGTGTGTGTGTGTGTGTGTGTGTGTGTGTGTGTGTGTGTGTAGCAGGGTACCTGCAGCGGAGCATGTTGTGTGAAATCCCCTCGTAAAGGAATGGCAGCTCCACACCCAGCCAGCATGGGCTGGGGATTTGCATAGGCCCAGAGTCACCCTGTCACTGATCCGCTTTTAATTGGGTGTGACGATGAGAACTTTGGAGCCTGAAGGGGGAGGTGGAGGTGTGGGGAGATGGGGGAGTTGGCCTGAGGTGGGGTATTATGTTGGGGAGAAGCAGTGTAATTTACAGTAATTTCATAATCCAGTTCAACAAGTTATTCGATGTAATTATTTTCAAAGCATTTCAGAGTTTGTCGTCTCCCCCTGCAGAGCTGTCTCCTGGCCTGGCAGCGCTAACTGTGGGCTGTGACTCAGGGAATCTGGGCTCCTTGTCCCGGGTCCAGCTGCTCCTACTGGACCGACTGGAGCCTGAGGCGCCACCGAGTCCCTTCGGTCAGGAAGAAGAGCTGTCGCTGATGCAGGACTGGTCAGATCTGAGGATGCAGTATGATCCAGGTTTGACTTCAGCAGGTAGAGGTTTTTAGGAGAAAGAGGCTTCCACAAATTTAGAGGAACAAATGAATGAATGAAATCAAATTTTTTTTTACATGAAATCATGATAAAGGATCAAATGTAGAAATAAACACACCCAAAACACAGTGAAATAAGTATTATCGGGCACTAAAATAAACAATTTTGTGTGTGAAAATTCATTGGAAGCAAGAGTTTGACAAAATAACTCAACTACAGCCAGCTTTTTAAGAAGTTTTCAGCAAAGTTGAAAGCTTTGGGAAACCGGAAAGATGTTTGTCAAACTTAAATAAAGCTCATTTCATACTGCTGGCAAAATTCCCATTCCACATTTAACAATTATAATGATGAAACCTCACCATGCAGAACCAATGTGCATTTCTCAGTAAGACATGGTGAACTTAAAGACTTCTATAAGGATATTGTGGGAGGGAGTGATGTTCATGGGAATTTGAGGGAAAGCAACACACAGTTTAACACCAGGATCAAACAATCATCAATCCAGCAAAAACATCCAGATACACTTGAGACAAGTAATTTATTAATCCCAGGTGGAAGTTGAACCAAAAGAGGAAGTTCACACTCGAAAGACAAACTTTGAGTCAGCATCAAGTTTCCTTTCTAACTCCTGAAACTCATTTCCATAACTGTGATTTCTTTGGGATTATGTGAAATCTCCTTGAATTGCATTTTATATTTTTGAAGCAATGTCAGTTTACTGAGAGTAAACCTCCGGCTCTGACAAATCTTTCTGACAGTTTGAGTGAGATCGTTTGATAAGCAAAAACCGTCACTTTAATAACAGGGAGCAGTCAGACAGGTGTGTCCATGTGTGTGTGTATGAAGAGAAAATACACCAGACAGGGGGAAAAACATGACACTGTAGGTGTGTTTTCTCTCCGTCCGCAGCCGGCCTTGAGAGTAAGTGATGCCTTTATGGCGTCAAGCGGCTTTTCTTTTAACAAGCTGTGATACCGCCTCTCATCTGCTCCCAGGCATGCCGCTGCGAGCTCTTAACTGCTTTTCCCCGAAGGTGTGGCAGCTCAGAGGAGGTTTATAGGGATATCAGGATGTGCCATATTAATAAAGATCAAACCGCTTGAGTGGATCATTAACCGGGAAAGTCCGACTAAGATAGCAGGAGATACTTAGAACCAAGCACTGCATACATAACAATGGATAAGAAACTGAGAAGAGTGTGTGCAGAACAGTCATTTAGTCTAGCGTCTGTTGTTTATAGTCTGATAACACATCGGAGAGTGAGATAAACACTGTAGGTGTTTGAAGGTTCAGTTCAACCAAATTACAAAGGAGCATCTCTCACTTAAGATAGTTTTACTATTATTTAAGTAATACGTACGTTTTGAGATATTTGTCTCACAGTGCTCACCAGAGATGTGGACACAAATTGAATGACTTTAGACTCGACTTGAAAAAATTAAAATACACCTGCAACCCGACTAGGATTCCACACCAATGACTCTTGACCACACTTGGACTTGAACCTTTTGAAAATACTTGATACCTTCTCCCAAGCCCAAAGATTAAAAGGATTGTTATTTAAGAAGTGTGTGCCATGAATCCATTTATTTTCCTTAGTTTCCTGACTCAGTTTACATTAACGCTATTCATTCCCAGCAAGCTGATGCTTAATTCCCCCAGATCCAGTCAATTTGCAGGAGAGAACCATGAAGAACTAACACATGTTAGTGCCAGTTGGATCAAATGTACTATATATACACTATATACCAAATATAATTTAGTTTGTATTGTTATGATGGCATTACATTTGCATACAGCGCACTGTGACTTATTTAGAACCCTAAACTCAAAGTTTAGGACTTGGGAGTTGCCTGTCCTGACTTGGAACTTGAGTGCAAAGACTTGAGATTTACTTGTGACTTGCAAAACAATGACTAGGTCCCACCTTTGATGCACACAGCCCTAAAAAATACAAACTATTGTGTTTATACTGTAGCTTTTACAAAGACGTCAGGGCGGGGTGAAAAGCCGCCCAAGGTAGAGAGGGGAGGGGCACGATAATTGTTCAATTCAATCAGCATGAACGCACGAAAAGTGACCACTACTTGTATGAAGAATAAAAAAAAAAGCCTGAGGGAGAAGCTCAGATTCTGAATGCTTTCTTGCTGCTGTACACCTGGCCAATGCTGACCTCTGTGTGGTGGGAGGGGGGTTCTGATGCTGTTCGACCTGTTCTGGCACCAATCTCTGTGAATATTTGTCACTTCAGTTAAAACCAGTGTAAAAATTGTATAAAAAATTTAGAAATGTGTTTAGAAAATGGAGAAATCCTTACCGTAGTGACGAGCCAGGGTGGCCAGTTTTGCTTCACTGAAAGCTGCTTCAAACTAAGTGCTTATCAAACAACGTCTAAAAATTCAACTGTCAGTTTTTGTAACTTTCCAAACCCGACAATCATGCCCCCATTCAAGTGTGCAGAAGTGAGACAGGAAGCAGGATTTGAACATGGCTGCTTCTGTCCCTTTTTGTATGTACAAACAAGTGCGACACCATGAATGCCACTGATATAGAATTGTCCGAAAGCGTGCAGCCTTTTGTATCACTCATCGTGTCTCGTCCCTCACTATGACGGCAGCTTTTTGCTCAGCCTCCAGAACGGAGATACACTTTTACTTTTAGACTTGATTGGATAAATTCATTCATTTCAAGAATCCCCCTGCCTTTATGGGACCAAACTTTACTGTCAATAATCCATAGGCCGTACGGTGAACAGTTTTCATTGAAAGTTCATTGAAATTCCATTGACCTCTATAGTTTTGGCATGAATAGAGTCTATCAGCATGACAAAATATTACCAGAGGTAAGTAAAAAAAAAACTTGAAAAAATGCTTCTCTCCCCCGCAAGACATATATGACACAGTGGTTTTGTTTTTGGTATTCATACATCTATGCCGCCAATGTTTACAGCAAGAGAAAAATCTGTCTGAGTTTGCTGGAAGCTTGTCTTTCCTCTCTCTCTCTGTCTCCAGAACAATGTTTGCACCTGGCACGCTTCTGTAGACAGGTGCTCCTCTAGGGTTTTGTTGCTCCATTTTTTTTTTTTTGCCATTATTTGCTCAGAGATTAAGAGCCATAATTGGAACTAATACACTACATTACTCATATCTCTGCACACACACTCAAGTACAAAAGACAAATGCATGTAAGTGTGTGCAGGAGGCTAACATTTATGTACACACGTGCACGGGCGCACGCGTCCGTCTGCCTGCACCACAGACGCGAACACACAATTGCTTCCTCTCCCTTTAGCTTGACTCTGTGTCCTGTATGGTTTTGTCAGGTGTTTTGAGGCCCCTCACAGCTGGCAGCATCTCTGAAAGGTGTGACTCTCCGGGGAAAGTCCATGAAAACAAATCGGTGAGTGCCGCTGCCCCTTGTGAAACCGCTTTTCACTCTCTACCCCCCTCCTCCGTTCATCTATCAGATTTCCTCCTAAAGCAGGACTGCGCCTTGTCGTGAGCAAACACTAGACCTTCAAGAATCAACTCAATAATCAGACAATAACCTCAAACCTGGCACACATAGTCTCCCTCCCACACAAAGACCCCCTTTTACAAACTTGAACTGGCATGTATTTATAACTGTCATTCCAGTAAGACAAGCCAAATTGTTGTTGATAATTGAGACACAATATAACAGAGGGCACGCGGCGTGCAGCAGGTGTGTGGTTAATCAGTCACGGGCTGGAGGAGGGGGGAGGCCTGACTGTACGGGAGCAGGCAGGCTTTTACACCAGCTCATTGCTCTGTCGCAGGGGGGTACGCTCAGCTAAACGCCCAACACTGTGGGATTCTTTTAGAGGATGCACCAGCACTAGGATCAGACAGGGGTTGAGGGGTGAGGGGTCAGGGGGGTAAACAGGGCTTGTGCATGCTGGGCTGCAGTGGAATGGGCGCAGGTGCTCCACGTGATCTACGATTAATCTCCCCTTTATGACGGATGAGAGAGAGCCCCTGAAAAGCATGAATGAGAGTCATAAGCCCCCTGCAATTATGCCAAACCACAATGACGAGCTGGAGTGCTCGGAGCAGGATTCATACGATCATTTGCATAATGCACCTCACTGAACCAAGTATCCACACACTGGATTATTTATAAAAAAGTGATAAACTAGTGGTATGTTTTGAGCTGGGAAGTGGGAGGAGCTGCTGCTTCTGGGTTAGGAATGTTTTTTTTTAATCAATGTAAATTCCCATATGAAAGTTTTCTTTTAGGGGTATCTCCAATGTTCTGCAACATTGAAACTCAGGAGTTTTAGAGGAATTGTTTAACATTTTGTAAAAATGTCAGATGAGAAGATTGAGAACAGGCCAATTAAATTCCTGGCGTGAGGTTGCCAGGCAACCAGTGAAGTCAGTGCCAGCTAAGAAACAGTCCGAAACGTAACCACCACTTCATCTTAGTCGGATTATTCAATCAAGATTGTTAACTAGTGAGCTTTTAGAGGTGCCGGTGGGCGGATTTTGACACTTTCAGCCAGGCTAGCTTTATTCTTTATTATTAGTTTCCAGGCTTTATGCTAAGCTAAGCTAAGCTAAGCAGCTGTTGGTTAGCTTCATATCTGCTGCACAGACAAAGTAGTATTAGTCTCATATAATTCTAGTTCAATACAGTTTCTTATCCAGATCTGGATATTCTTCAGGAGCATTTTTAATCTCATATTAGTTCGGGTCGACGACTGAAAGCAGCAGTTTTTAAGTTCCTGTCATATGGAAACAATTCGCACTATAGCTTCATCAGAGGTTCTGATTTGGCATGCTGCAGGTATCATGATACAACTGGTTCCCATCTAAACCTCTGGAATGCTCCAATTGCTAATGACCTAACATTGTCTATGCAGAAAATAAACTGGACTTCACTTCCAGAACTCTTGATCCCCCAAAATAATTCTTGACTTTGTAACTAATGGAAGACCAACGTTGTCGCATTATTCTTGGGCAAAGGTTTATTCTGTCTTCTGTTTCCTTGCAGGATCAGTCTGAAGGAGGTTCAGGGTCACCGTCTTCATGGATCATAGACCAGAGTCCCTCATACGACATGTTCAGATCCGCCTATTCCCCCTGCAAGTCCAATCACAGTACTGTAGCCCTTCAATCTACTCAGACAGTGATTATTTCTCTTGATCTGTGTGTGCTGTTATGGCATATCACCTCTCTGTAAAAAGTGGCGCTCTCTCTTAAGAGCCTATAACAACAATACTTAATCAATACAAGAGCCCGTCTTCACCATTAGCGTCTGATCCGGTAAAAGCCCACTCAGTCTCTGTCAGCTTTGGTTTATTAGGAGCCATTGTCTCCTCACTGCCAGCGCTGTGTTTAGCGTTCCCTTGCCTCCGGTACACTTAAGCCCGCTAATCCTTGCTAGGGCCAGCTGGCTCCAAGTATCACCTTCACCTGTGTGGCCGGCTTGTGTACATTCATGAATGATGGTTCATAGGCAGCGTTTACTGTAAGGACCGCAAAGACTGGAAAACTGGCAGCGCTAGACAGGAAAAAGGTCAGGAGTACTGTCACTACGTGGAAACGGAGAGCCACCCTTGAGCTAATAGCTGGCTCTTTTTCCTCCCATCTTCATTTGGTGTGTCAGCTCATGCAGTTTTATTTCTCGCTGGTGACTCCAGTCCAGTATCAGTCATTGTTCTCTGACACTAATGGTCCATGATGTGCTGTGTTCCTAGAGGATTTTAGAAATGCATCCATCATATCAGAGATTGATGTGTCTGAGGGCCAAGCTGCAGCTAACCGTTTAGACCAAAGGCTCAGAGATATGTCTTTCTAATCCAACACTGATGTCAAGTGCCAAGGCTGCTAAGCTTAAAAACACTCAGTGTGTGCGGTGTTGTTGATGAAATGCATCCAGGAGTGGAGGAGGGTGGAACTATAGATCAGGCTGGGCTGCGACCATCTATCTTTAAAACATTTTGACATCAGTTTTCACAAAACTTGCAGGGATAATGATCGTGTTGGCATTAGCCTGAGTTAAGACGTCAGTGTGCTTCGAACTAAAGTGCTTCTCAGTTGTCGAACCCTCCTTCCCCTCCACAACTTTCCATCTACAGATAACGTGTGCTGTTATCTCCATTTGTATGGTTGGTCACATCCTGCCTTTCTATATGAGAGCTGGCTTTTCTCTCCACCTTTAAGCTTGGCTATTTAGAACGACGATAAACACTATTTGCAAGGACACTTCATACAACCTGTAGTGGTGGAAATATTTAGGAAAATGTCCCCTATTATATATTATATCATTAGATTATCATTACTCATGCAGTAATATAAAAGAAGGATTTTACTGTTGTATTTGGTGGAAGTGAAGCTCATTGTTACAACTAATGATTCATCTAATGATTCATCTACTGTTTTCTCCATTAGTCGATTGAAAATAATTAAAATAATAATAAGAAAAAGCAGCAAATCTTCTCAATTTATAACCATCAAATGTTATTGCATGAAAAATCATTACATCACAGGAAATGATTTGTTTTCACGGCTGCCAAAAGATGAGCTCAACCAATTCTTCGTGTTCGCTAGTCACAGGATTTACTACTCATCCTGTCAATGTTTTTTTCTTCTGTGGTTCTGGAGGACCTTTTTAAAGTATTACAAAATAACCCCTAATGTTGGAAACTTGGAAACTTTAAAGGACAGCCTGCATTTTAAAGCGCGGGCGGGAGTTAATAAGACAGGAGTGGTCCAAGGAAAATACTAGTGCAAATTAAGAAAATGCTATTGAGTTGCATTATGGGAACTGTAGGATCCTGCATTTTTGGAGTGTGACCCACAGTAGGGACTAAGAGTCAGGATATCTTGGCCATTTTTTAACCCTATGTCTGTCTAAAGATCCCCAACTTTATGGACATATGAAGCTTCTAATGGAATTGAGAGTTGGTCTAAGGCCCTGGTACATATAGACATTTGTTTAGACATCAATATAGGGAGATATTTACTATTTTAGGACCCTAAGCAAGTTGTCAGGGCACCCAGAAGTTCTGAGCTACATTTCTCTGTACCTTACTTGAATCTTGTCTGTGTTTCTGACAGGGAAGAGTGACCTTTATATGTTTTAAGAGCCTTTTTCATACAGAATGATTGATTTATTAGCTTGTTAAATGTATACAACGGGCATTCATTGTCATAGCAGACAATGACTGAAATTCCCCACAGCTTTAAAATGCAGCTTTTCCAGCTCTTTTAAAACAAGTCTTTAACTGTTTAACTACCCTATAAGAATTAACCAAACTCGACGCATGAAAAAAGATGTCACCCAGAGGATCCTGGTGTTGGCTTGTGTGCTTTGACCTTTTAGAGGCCAAAGGCATGGTCACTCTGGGGAAGAAGGAAGGGAGGAGGAGGGGGTCATCACCAGGGCGTGGAGAGGTCACTCCTGAGGTCACACAGTCTCTAAAAAATGCCCAGTGTGTGGCATGTCTTTGTGTGGATAGGTGAGATTCGGTTACCCTGGAGGTGAGAGCAGTTCAACCTTTGAATAGGGCTTCCAAGTAATGGAGGGAATGACCCTGTTACGACTCAATGTATATGAGACAGTTAAGATAATGGGCTTGTGACTCCATCCATCCGACCAACTGCTGATTTAGATTTAGATTTTGGAAAGATAGGTTGAAAATATAAAATGAAATGGTTGGTGAAAACTAATCGCTTAAGTCAGGGAGTTCAAACTGCTGGTCCTCCGTCCCCCCTCACACGCGACATGATATCAAAAATATAATATAATCCAGCCTATTTTTTTGTGTGTGTGTTGTATGTCAAAATGATACTAGGGACTTTTAGCAAACTCCATAAAACACAAATGATGAGCAAACTGAACTTCATGTTTATAATCAGTGGAACTGCCCTTTAATTTTTTTTTTATTAGTGATTACTTTTTTCTATTTAATGCAATTTTTCACGATGCCTGTTCCACATCATTGAATTTTCCACCTGACTCTGGATCAATGACTGTGGTTGAGCAATTCTGAAATTAAACTGAAGCCAGAAATCAGCTGCGATAAATGCTCCTGCTCCCCAGTGAGGCTCATGATAAGACCTTTGTCCCTTTTTGCTCATCAGAAATTCATAGGTAGAATAATCCCTCGCCTCATAATTGTTTCATGACTGTTTCCCCGCTGCCCCGGTCACTCTGCGCTCACTCCAGTGTTTAGCATTCAGCTGTTACTAAAGATGTTAGCATCCAAATGAATGTAGCGATGTGCAGGGCCACAAAGAGCACTAATCTGAACTGACCCTGGTGGATTGTTCCGGAAAGCTGAGGAAGCTACTGGACAGATTAGGCTCCAGAAAGACAGAGATGGGGCAAGCAGAGATTAGTCCTGTACTAAGCAAGGATCGTTTCCCCCCCCAGAGGACCACACACTGACAGTGTAGCCATGTCACCATTGTTTCTAAGCCACCGCCACTGTGGACTCCTTGGCTATTGTCTTCGAAATCCTCCAGCGTTTCCCCAAAAACCTGGACTCAAGCCCTTTGATTGGCACTTGTCAGGGCTGATAGAGAGGGTGACGTGTTGGGAAAGGCTTCGATAAAGGAGCCCTGAAAGGAAAATCCCCTCCCCATGAATAATAAATTGGCGAGGATTTTCCTTTTTACTCCACCCCGCTCCTATTCTGCCATTCTTTCAGGAGATAGAGGAGTGAAGGCTCTGGGTGGCATCAGTGAATAGCCTCTGCACGCTGATTGTCTAGCTGATGCTCATCCCTTTCTCAAACATGCAATGAAAGAGATACAAGTCCAACCTTCTTGCCTCTGCCTGGTGAGCTGGATGGTAAAGGGCAGGCAGTGTGTGTTGGAGAGAGTCGGACGAAGGGTGGGCGGTGTGTGTGTGTTAATTGTCTTCAGTGGCCTTTTTCGGAATCCGCGAGGGGATTTGACTCGGCCGCTCGCAGCCAAATCCAGCTATCTGCTGTGTTCAGATGCTGTGGTTGGTATGGTAACCTGCTCTGTGTGTTTTAGATGTGCTCTTGTTTCCAGCTTGAACTGACCAGTAATCACTGCTGTGCATTCATGGATTAGGCCATATTGGAGGTTAGGATAGGAGGGTTTCAAAAGGAGGAAACCAAATCCTGAATAATTTTAGAGCCCCGCTTTAAAGATTGTACCTTACAGAAACTGTCTGGACTCGTAGATTTTAACCAGTTCTGAAAGAAATCAGTAAACTGATCGTCATTAGGGTTATTTTAGCAAGGAAAAAAACTAAACATTTGATGTAACCACCTTCTTAAACGTGAGGATTTTGTTGGTTTTCTCCATTTAATATCACTGTAAAATGAATAACTTTGGGTTTTGAGTCTTTTGATCTGACAAAACAAGCAATTTGAAGACGTCACTTCTGTACAGTGGCCTTGAGAGCTGAACGCACAACAGCTATAGAAAACAGATGCACATAGACAACATAAAAGCAAACAACTAATTTGGCAAATGTGCAACATAACAACACATTTGCTGCAAATATAGAAAAACAAACACAGAAATACTGCAAGATGCACAGACGATATGGACCCAAGTTATATAATAAAGTTCAAAGGACTTATTAACACGTCATGGTTGTGGCTTTCTGAGTTAAGTCCATGACTAAGCAGGATACAGGCTTTGTTAGTCTGTAACCTACTCTACATCTTGATTAAAAATGAGAAAACTTGCTCCTGGAATAGTTTAATTGATGATGTTTCACACCCCATTCGACCTACTTTATCATATCTATACCTACTTTCGAAAAAAAAGGTAAGAAATTAAGAAAGAAGGTGACGTTAGTTTTCAAAATTTTATTCAAGTTATGTTTTCCTCTGGCACTGCTGTTTCTTTATTTAGGTGTGTAGGGTTTTTTTTCAATTGTTTGAGTATAGCAGATATAGCATATGTATAATTAAAGAATATCTGACTCATATAATCAGATTGTTCAAATTAAAATGAAGCGTTCGTTAGCTCATTTTCCAACAAACGTGACTGTAGTCGACCTCAGTGTGTTTCTGTAGTTATATTTTCTGACTTTGATTTTGTGTCGTATTTTTTATGCTGCTTGTGTGTTGTAAAATTGGTGAATGTGGTTCTGAATTTGCCCTTTATTTCTGCGTAGTTGCTATGTTATGTTGAATCGATGAAGATATTTTTTGAACAGTCCCTTGGTCTGTGATGATTTTATTTTGTACATTTGGTGCAAGCTGAGATTGCATTTTACACTATATTTAGATATTTTATAGATTTAGCAGTTCATTGATTAATTGTAACATTAAACAATAAATCAAAATACCGTGGAAATAATGCAGATTTTAATGTAGGTTAGGTGTGATGCATTAAATTGAAAAGTTTTTGATTTTTGAAAACTCTTCACATTCATCGTGAGGATATCCAGACATTTGGTTTATGTTGCATATGAAAGAAATGATGAATTCTGCACTCTAAACATGAATCCATTTCTCATGTCATCGTCTATTTTGGTGACATTGAGACTTGAACAGGACACGGAGGCTGATGGGAGCGTGTGATTGTGTGCAGTGTGGTGGAAGACGGCCTGTCAAATGAGACATGGCTCCATCAATCTGGGCTGCTGACCTCTGCACGCTGACTGACTGGATAAATGAATCCACGACACCGCGTTTGAAAGGCTTGATGAATCTGCTCGACTGGTCAAGCTTTCCCTCTCCTAACGAACAGAACCATCTCTGAATCTATCACATTTGAATCATCGCTCATGCGCTAACATAAGTAACACTCTTGTTTGCAGAAGTAGTGGGAAGAAAAGAGTCTGAAACTGTTGCAAAAGACAATCAGAGCTCTCCTTAAGCTCAAGTCTGCATTGACGGTACTCTTTGTCTCTTCTCTGCTACACCAAGAAGTGTATTCTGAGGACTTTATGTTCACAGATAATGGGACTCTTAATTGGCTGGTCAGTGACAAAATGGGTGGCTGTTTAAGTTTCAGAGAGAGCGTGCGTTCTTTAGAGAGACTCTGAAAGGACTGAAGGGAGATGTGACTGTGGCATTTAGGAGAACAATGTGATGAGAATTAGTGTTTATTAAAGGAACAGGAATGGGTTTTAGTGCTTTTTACTAAGTGGCTACTTCCACTTAGATGACCATGAATATAGATGTGGTTTCTCTTGTTCAGGACTGTGGTGATTAGTGTTTATATTTAAAAAGTTAACCCTTCTACTAAGTTATAAATACATTTCAGGCAGAACTAAAGACTACTATGCATAATTTTATGTAACATCTCTCCACTCCAGGCTCCAGCACAGATGAAAGGGGCCCCACCGAGGAGGAGTCCAATTATCCAGGATGGAGGGACCGAGTGGAGTCCTCGGCTGGAGGAAGGAGGCCTGAGAGTGTTGACCACAGCACTGAAGAGAAGGAGAGAAGGATGGAGGAGAGGAAAACAAAGGTGCTGCACATACTTACCAAACTGCAGGACACGCCTCGTCAGCCAAATGGCAACAAAGGTCGCTCCAACTTTGAGGACTGTGAGTTTATCATCTCATGGATATAAGATGTTATGCCTTAAAACAAAACTTTGGCCATTTTCAACCCAGACCTGTTATTTTCCATCTTATACCTTTGCTAAAAATCTTACCTCATTGTAGAGCAACAGCATAAATAGTGTCACAGCTGTCCAACACAGTCTGAACAGCTCAAAGGTCTCCTACTGAGCTCACTTTGTAATGAGACTCATACACACACACATATATATATATTTGTATGTGTCCATCTGCTGATAACTTTCATTATTTGGGCACAGAACTTTCATCACACACTCATAGGGACAGCAAGGATTTAATAAGGAGGTTTTTTATTAAAATTCTTTATTTAGTGGAGCAGAAACACCTGATAACAGATTGATTACTTCTGGTAAATAAGTATTGTCACACACAGTGAAACATGGAAATGAGTTTTTAGCACTTCCAACATTGTGGCAGCGCCAAAAGGCATAAAAACTGTAGAAGAAGAAGATGAAAAATCTTCATCTACATACTTATTTTGACATGTTGACAGGAAAATACTCAGGTATTACAGTTTTACAACACAAAAAAAAAACTACATGACCAGATAATAATCTTGTTCTGCTATGTTTAACTTATATTTAGACATTAAAAGATTTTAAATTTCTCATACTACTTTTAGAACCCCTTTGCTCTCATTCATGCATCCTTGGGTGGAGTAAACCTATTAATGACCTCCTGTTTCCTATCAACAAATCTAACCTCCAGCCAAACCCGGTCCTTGCTACACTCCTGACAGACACAATTAGCCAATAAAATCAAGGTAAATGTAAACTTCCACATTAGTTGCAGTACATAAGTCTTTCTTGAATTTCCCTCAGGATAAATAAAGTATCTATCTATCTATCTATCTATCTATCTATCTATCTATCTATCTATCTATCTATCTATCTATCTATCTATCTATCTATCTATCTATCTATCTATCTATCTATCAGTCTATCTTCTAGCCATCGTAGTTTTGCCCAAAAAATAACGAAAGGTTACTGTAAGGTCATCAACCACCCTCTGGTCTACACATAGTTTCTGTCTAATTACAGTGCGAGAGATTAGTTTGTTGTAAAAAATTTATGTTTTGAAGGTTTGTGGAATTGATTACTATCTACTGGCATATTAAGACTCAATAGGAGACTCTGTAGGGAAATAACAGAGGAGATTTTGGTCAGAATGAATCATTATAAGTTTGAAATGAAGGGGTTGTCAACGCAGTGTTTAAAGACCAAATCTATCTCTGCCTGCCAAAAACTCTTCTTTGCCTCCTGTTCACACAATGGCCGTGCAGAAAAAAACACCAACACCTGACACATTTATCAACACTCCTCTCGACTCTAAAAATGTCCCCTCAATAACAGCACTTGATTTTTAGAATTACCTTTTTTGTGAACAGGAGTTTGGCCAGGAGTTCTCCAGTTTCCCTCAAGTGCCTAATTTCTGGCATCCAAGCCTTTGTGAGAGTGCTGGGGCCGACGGGTCCGACAATAAGCATCCACACCTAAGGTCAAGGCTGAGGGGCCGGCCCTCTGCAGAGGTCAGTCAGGTCAGAGTTCTCCCGTGAGTGCTGGCACCCATGAATGGGACTGATTGGACAGGTTTGTTCAGACGGTAATCAAGCAGGATGAAGAACCCCCGGCAGCTGGCCTCACTATTCTGCAGCAAGGTTATTAGAGATGAAAAGCTTTTGTTGTGTTACAGGAGTGTAGACTTCGGTTTATGTGTGCGTGCTATTGTAATTTAGAGCTTTATGTATATGACAGTTTTGCACAATGATTGGGTTGTCTTTGCTTCCTTAAGGGGCATTTGTAGTGTGAGGATTCATTAAGGTTAAGGCCAAAGTTATTTCTTTCCACTTTTACCAACTTTCTCCAAAATATGTACAGATTTTCCAAAAGAACAAATTGCTTTGAACTGATTTTTAAGTGTACAGTAAACAAGTTGTGGTTAGGAAAGCTCAGAAAATGTTCCTAGTAATAAAATAAAAACATTAAACTTCCGATTATGTATCAGAATCCCTCTAACGCTACATTTATATCAGCTTTTTTAAAAATTATTTTTCATTTATTATCCACTTTTAGATACTCGTCTACTCCTACGTACCTGCCTCATGAAATAGACGAGAACATTTTTGTGTCTTTTATCCAATTTTAAGCCAGCAGGAAGATATAAAGGTATACATTTTAATTTGTCCAATATTTTAATTTAAGACCAAATCCCTGCAAATAATGACGCTCCCGTCAGCCTGAGCAGTGCTTTGTGTTGAGTTCTTATTAGCAAATATTTGCATGCTAACACACTAAACTAGCACAGTGGATATGCTAATATGCACTAGAATAACAAACTTTGCTACTAAGGTTAATAATTGATTCAGGTTCAGGTGAAAGTTAGATTTAAAGGACATCTTATGAAGTTCCTCATAATACTAGACGTATAATGATGTGTCAGTGTGTGTGTGTGTGTGTGTGTGTGTGTGTGTGTATGTGTGTGTGTTTGGTATTCTTTAGAGAAATACACTCTGTACTCGTCATGTTTATGTTTATTATGTTTATATATGTTTTGTTTACAAAGTGTGTCCTGGTACAATCTGTCATTTTTCATGCCTGAATATTTGCCAGGGTCCTCTTTGTTTTGTCATGTGTGTGTCCTTGCACATACACACACGTTTGTGTGTGCGTGTGTGTATGTGTGTGTGTGTGTGTGTGTGTGTGTGTGTGTGTGTGTGTGTGTGTGTGTGCTGACTATAGCTCTTGTCCAGACACTTGTAACTGTGGCTCCTCATTAGGCTCTGAAAGAGTCTCGCTGGTCATAATTGTCTCTTTTCGGTCCAATGCTGACCACTTGCCAAAAGAGTCCCAAAATAGAGAAACCCCCACCCCTCATCCCACACACACAGGCACACACAGGCACACACAGACACACACCCACCTATAACTTCCTGTACTCTGCCACCATTCATCCATTCAACTCTGTGACCCTCCAGGTTGTCATCAGTCAGCGGTCGCTGCCATGTGGCTCGTGTTTGGAGTCCTAAGAGAATAGAGGAGAATAAGAGAACAGAGAATATGGGTTCAACCACAAAGAGCAGATGTAATTATGCTCACAGTATGACACGAGTCGCGTCAGACCTGCTCCTATTGTAGATGTATAACACCTCATGCTGACTACATCAATCAGTTGGTACATAACAGAATAAAAGTGTTTTTTAATCTTCAAACGCTGCCACACTAATGATTTTTAGTGGCACATTTTGTGAAACCCAAGAGATAAGGCATATTGGCAAAGTTCAGTTCAATATTATTGTATCTATAGAGGGAGAATAATTCTCATAAATTAGATATGGTGGTTCCCTGTTGTCATGGCTGCATTTTAGAAATTGGGCACAGCGTGGGGTCGGAAATAACAGGACATGGAAAAGATCAGAGGCACGTTTGAGCTTAATCGTTTACCACGTTTAGAGTTTAAAGCGACTATAATCAGAATCAATATATATTAAAAAGGAATCCCATGACAACCTGGCTCTGCACCTTCCCTCATCTTTCAGACCTGTTTAGCGTCTTTCAGGTCATTGTTTTGGTTCAGTGTCACCACTTTCATTTTCAGCTACCGCAGCTGTTTAAATAAAGGTGCTCTAAAAACCCATTGTACACGACCTGCCCAGCAGTTAGCAACTAGCTTGTGACCGTAGTGGAGCATTTAGCCGCTGCAAGCACCAGATATTGCCCCCAGGAGTTGGTGGAGACCAAAAACAGAGCTATAAGAGAGTAAATATTGGACTTATATTCATCCGGTTGTCTGAAACAGGACTCTAAATGACATGATAATGTTGCTCCATAACTGCTGAATATATAAATAAGCAACTATTTGCCAACAAGTTCACCATATCAATGTTTTTTGGTGCCACCAAGAAGGCAAAAGCTCTAATATAGGAGGAAATATTACAGTGGTTGCTTTTACAAGTGAAAAAACAATACCTTACTGAACAATAGGAACAGGTTGAGTTGCATTAAAGAGACAAGTACCTACAGAAGGTATTCATACATGCTTTTTCTGGAGTTTAAAGCCCAGTTTTATAATTTGTGTCTGTGGTGAACAACCCAGGCTGAACAGACTGTAAGTGGATGGAGAACAGGGTGACACCGATGTCAAGTAGCTGGTCTCCTTTGTGTTTCCACAGAGAAGCAGCTGAGTGTGGTTTGAGGGACTCTGTGGGTCTCTGATGAATGTCAATGTTGATATGGAACACCTGGCGGCCTTGAAGCCAGCCTCGCTTTGACCCCACACACCGCCACCACCTCTAGCCTATATTACTGTCTGCTGCGCATGGGCGGAGATCAGGCCTAATTGTTGTTGAACAACGAGCAAAAAAAAAAGAAGAAAAATACGACCGACCGAATGAACAAGAAAGACCAGTCGCTTAAAAAGAGAGATCAAGGGAGGTTACGGCAATAGTGTGAGGTTTTTATCAATGTGTGTGTGGGAGGATGTCCCTTGTGTGTGTTCGGGTACAGTGCCTTTATGTAACCCCTGTTTGCTCAGCCTTTGGTCTGGAATACCTCTATGTATTTACCATCAGCCCAGAATGACTGGGCAAACAAACAGCTCGCCTATTGATGAGCAGCAGCGTGGAATATGCCCGCTGCATTCACGAGAGAAAAAAAGGAAGGGGTCGAGGGAGAGAGAGAGAGAGAGAGAGAAAGAGAGAGAGAGCAAAGTAAATCTGTCAAAGAGTCTATTATATGGTGTCCAAACAGAGAGCGCCCTCCACAATGGCCTTATTAATGGCACAATGTCAAGGAGCGGCAGGGCAATAATAGCGGATGATTTTGCTTTGTGAGGCTATCTCTGGAGATCTGGTATTGCAATACAGCAGATGATTTGACTCTGGGGGATATATCAGTGTGGATCTGCGGCAGGAGCTGATTGGAAGTAGGCGTGTGTGCGCGACACGCTGTGAGTGTGTGTGCAGAAAG